CCTTATCATCATTCATATTAAACACCACCTCCCTTACTTCATCCTCCTCGAATGGTCTCTCTACCCAACTGGCATCCTCTTCGGTGATAGTGGAAAAGTCAAGCCCCTCCAAAGTTGGCCTCCACTCAAACTGCTCCCGATAGAGATTCTGATAAAATCTCACCTGCTGAGTTACAATATCATTTGGATCTTCATAAGTAACGCCATCTACATCCAACGATGTGATAGAATTATTGCGCCGATTAGAATTAGCGACCCGATGAAAGAACTTGGTGCATTTATCCCCCTCCTTCAACCACATAACTCTCGATTTCTGTCGCCACGCAATCTCGTCCATCACCACCAATCTCTCCAACTCTCCCCTTAACATACCACGTCTCTCCCTCTCCTCCCCATCCAATCCTCGACTCTCCTCCTGCCTATCCAATTCTTCTATATCTGACAGACACTGAGTTTTTCGACAATCTATGTCTCCCACCACCTCCGCATTCCACTTCTTTAAATCCCCCTTCAAGGCTTTCAATTTCTGATGTAAAACAAAACTTGGAGACCCCCTGAAATCATAAGATTCCCACCAATTCCGCACTCGCTCCCCAAAACCATCAACCTTAAGCCACATCTTCTCAAACCGAAAAGGTCTTCTTCCACTACCCCTCGTAATCCCAGATAACATAATAGGGAAGTGATCTGAGTACACTCTTCCCAGTCTCCTCTGAGTGACATCTGCATACTTAGCCTCCCACTCAACGCTAACCAAGAATCGATCTATTCGGGATTGAATAGGTTGGTCTCTATTGGATGACCAAGTGAACTCTCCCCCCATCAAGGGTAAATCCACCAACATATTCTCACTAATAAACTTTGAGAAGTCCTCCATAGCCCCTGTTAGTCTCCCACCACTCGACCTCTCAGTAGGAAACCTAACCACATTAAAATCACCCCCAATGCACACTGGTAAGTTCCACCATGTCATCATACCAACCAATTCATCCCACAGGCTCATTCTGTTCTCATTTGCGTTAGGCCCATAAACTCCTATAAACATCCATTTAAATCTATCCCCAACATTACTAAACGAAAGTGATAATGAGAATAACCCTACACTAACCTCCTCCATATCAAAAACTCTAGTGTCCCACATGACTAGCACTCCTCCTGATGCCCCTGATGCTCCAAGAAATTGATACCCGACATGCTGTCCCCCCCATAAAGTACTCACAACAGCCCTCGAGACAACCTCCAACTTTGTTTCTTGTAAACAAACAAGATCCGCCCGCCATCCCCTAATCATGTTCCTTATCCCCAACCTTTTCCCGGCTTCGTTAAGCCCCCTCACATTCCAGCTAATGATTTTTGGTGTCATTAAAACTCTCCTTCATCCCTCCCCAGCATCCCTCTCTTAGACTCACCACCTTTGACGTCATAGTTTATCGAGCATTCGAGCCGCCTAAGCTCACGATCTCCCTTTCAACTTACTTTACCTCCTGGTATAGACCTCCCATGTCCCCTACTAGCCTCAAGCTCCTCAAACAGTTGCATGAGTTTGCTTTCATAACCATCACATGACACACCCACCAATTTGCTGAAGTCCTGAATTTTTTGGAGAACCCAATTTGAGGCTGGAGGTCTAACGTCACGCGTATCAACGTTCATTATCCCATCTGCATAACAACACCCAAGAGGCTCAATGATCTGTCCTTCCCCATCTTTCGCTGCACTACACCCTCTTCCATTATTTCTTTATTAGCACCATCAACCCGTACTACAAGCGCTTTTTCAGTCCCTATCACCTTTTCTTGTTGAGACTTATGATACCTCCTATTGTAAGTGTTCACAATCATATTTGCCGAATCTGTTACCTCTTGCACTTGTGTCAATGCCGAACTTAATTCCTCTGCCATCACTATTCCCGTATCTTTCTCTATCGGCACTACTTCCACTGTAGATGTGGTCGTGTCCACCGCATTCGATGAATGTTCCACCTCCTGATATGTCTCCCTCCCTGATAATTTTCCATCCGTATCCAGCCCCGCAGAATCATTTCCAGCATCATCTCTACCACACTCCACATCATATTGTACCTGAGTCTCACAATTGGGCTCATTCATCACCTGCTTTACTTTAGTTTGAACCCAGTTCGATAGTACTTCCTTAGCTGGATACTCAGATATCCCAATTCGGCATTTATAACAACAGGTCCTCCTATAGTCCTCACGAGCTTCTCCTTCCACTAACCTCATCAATTCATTTACTTCACCTTTCAATGCCTGGACGCGAGCCCTTATTTCAACGTTTGTCACTGAACTGTCCACTGCACCCGTTGCAGTTATGTCCTTCAACTTAGGCATCAATGGGTTCCCGTTAATAGGAACTGAAGTTCGAGCAATAGCATCATTCCCACCAACCTCTCTTTCCTTGTGCACCAGCACTAGATTTGCTGTATTCTGCTCGGCCTGTCTATTTGCCGTAACTTCAGCATAAGACCTCCTTTGTTGATCATTGACTGTAAGCGTTTGTCACTTAACACTACCTTTGGTAACAAAAAAATTAACAACTGCCTTAAACATCCGCAAAATCAACTCCCATCCCTCTCCCTTCACTCCTTCTGGCACCATCACCACTCCTTTCTTGCGCCTCTTCCCATATTGCGCTATCGTCAGATACCTACCTCGGCTATTTCCACACCGCTGTGCCAAAAAAGCTCTCGAAGACTCACTAAACTCATCAACATACTCCTTCTGATTGCTTGCCCTCCTCAATTTGTCTACCATATTCAACACCCACAAGGCACCGAACCTTCCCATGAAGATTGAATTTGTTCCCTTCGGTCCCCATTCTATCAACCTAATAATGCCGAATTTATTCACATACACAATAAATACCTTCGCCTCCACTCTAATTCGGTAATTGAATTCCTTTGTTCCAAAATTGTCCGAACACTGCTGAAATGGCTTGGGCACGTTGCGGGAAACAAGCTGTATCCCAGTCACCGGCGCGTGAGATCCACTCGCCGCCGGAACGCTACCGAGAAGCTGCGTCATGTTCGCCGGGGTCGGAATGACCTGCGCAGCTGCCCGGTCAGGCGCGTGTAACCTGTAGTTGGCCGGAGCTTGGTGAATCGGAGGTTGGGTTCCCTGCTCCACTGTGAAACCCTCGCCTCCTCCCTTCATCGACGCTCCTGGATACTCGACACCTTCCCATATGGAGACGCCTCCTTTAGATGGACAATTTTGAGCGGCGGCGATAGGGTTTCCACCTAGGGCCGTCGCCTGCAAGTATCTTCCATGGTCGAATCGGCCATGATTTTGTGGCGTAAGGCCGGCGTGTGGTGGGTGACCAGCCGGGGCCTTCTGCCCGTCGCCGGAAGGAAGTGGGTCGAATGGTTTGGGGTGGGTAGGTTTGGATGTTGTTGGGGAGCTCTCCATAACGAGCATTGGTTTATATTACTATGCAGATTTGGAATGAAATGTCTTGAAAAATTATATTTTGTTGGAATTATTTTCTACTCCTCCCTTATTCTTAGTAGCCAAGAGATGAAAACTTCTTTTTATATTATTTTCTTATTTGAAAATAGGTTTTAATTAAAAATATAGTGAAAACTGTATGTTTCACCAATTAAATAACCTTGATATAGTTTTTCAATGAAACTTGAGAGCAATGGTTTATTTAATGTATTTTTTTAAACAAATGGAAGAAGCGTCAACGCTTTGTTATCGAGATACTAAGTTTACAAATATAAATAGGTTTAATATTTAGTTTATGATTTCAAAATTTTATATTCTATTTGGTTTCAATTAGTTAATGATAAATATGTGAGTTGTTATAAGGTTTATTTTAGCTATATGGTAGCTAGTGGCCGTAGGGATTGCAAAAAAACTCGTTCATCTCGATACTCGTGGGCCACTCTCCCGATACCATTTAAAATTAATTTAAAATTTAAGTTTTTTATTAAATAAAAACAAAATATTTATCCCACTTTAACCAGGTATGGGGATTGGACAAGGTGACAAAAATACCAAAGGGATGGGATGAAAATGGCGGACCCATCCCGTTGTCATCCTTACCTGTGGGTGATATGGAGCAAATAGTGCTCCTAGTTTTTAGAGAGAGTTTATTGAATATGAATATATATATCCTTCAAAACCTAATTTATGAAGCTTAAGGCTCCTTCGAATGATATTATTTCATCTTTGAGCCCTATTTTTCAATTATACAATTTTCTTCAAACTCATTTTTAACCACATTTTCCTAATAAAATAATATTACGCACAAATTTAGCCCCTGTTTGACACCCATTAAAATTTTCATTCTCATTCTTCTATTCATTTTCAACCACACATTCTCCAATAAAATAATTTTTTTGATAAGCATTCTTCAATAAAATAATATTTTCCATCACATCAATAATTTTCCTTCTTTTTCAACCACACATTCTCCATCAATCTACTATTCCAAAACAATATCCATCAAACACACCCTTAAACACATTCTCCAAAAATTCAATATTCCAAAATTTATTTTTACCAAATAATGGGTGCTCAAACGAGGGCTTAATTCTCTTAATAGAAATGTGACCATAACCAAAAATAACAGTTTAACAGACAAAAATCTAAAAATAACACATCTACTTTGACTACAACTTGTAACATTAAGGCAACTAAATAACACATCAAATTTTTTTTTTTATTAGCAACTTGACACTAATTAAACTTTAGCTTGACTTTTACAAAATTTTGGTCCAAAAATGATCATGAATTATAGGAGAGCATTCAGCAGTAACAACAATTTGATGGTCATTCAGTTAATCAATCGATTTCTTTGTACTGTTTGTTATACATCAAAAAAAAAAAAAAAATAGTCGAATAGATATGTTGAAACAGAAATGCCTGTAAAATATGCTCAATCTTCAAGTAACATAATCCAAGGAAAAAACGATTTCCAAAAACCAAATACAAAATTCAACAGATTAAACCTAAAAAAGTGACAGTACAATACAGTACCTTAGAAGGGATGCAGCCAACGTTGAGACAGGTACCGCCAAGGGCTCCTCGCTTCTCGATACAGGTGGTCTTGAGCCCCAGCTGGGCGGCCTTGATGGCAGCCACGTAGCCTCCGGGGCCACCCCCAATAACTACGACGTCGTTCTCCTCAGATCCCGACGCAAAGCCTCTGGTAAGAATCCACGAGTACTTTGAAGCAGAAGTGTTATAGTTGCCGTTGTAATAGATATGCCTCGACGATGAGAAGAATGTTACGGCCTTTCGTCTGGCAATTGTAGTCATAGCCATTTCTCAATGCAAAAATCGAAATCTCCTCTTTTCGATTTTTAGGTTTCCTTAGAAGATGAAGGATGGAGGAGGCGATCTATAATTATTATTTTAAAAAGGAAAAAAGAAGAAGAAAAAGAAAGAGCAGAGAGTATGTTCCGATGTGAACGGGTCTAAAGATTTAAAATGAGACTTTTAATCACAGTCGCTGCTGTTTTTATGACTGACTTTCTGGATGCAGTCAATCTGGACCGTTAAGGTGAGAAATTTGTAAGCTTCTATTAATTAATTAGTAGTGTCAACCGAGTCGAGCGGCTTTGTAAACTTCTATTAATTAATTAGTGGTGTCAATTGAGCCGAGCGGCGGTTGAGCCGAGTGGGCGGCTAGCTCGCTAGACGAGCCGAGCCCGCTTGGCTCGTTACTATTCACGAGCGGCTCGAACCCACGAGCCGCTCGGCTTGTGGGCTTGTATATTTAAAAATAATAATAAATAAATAAATAAATAATACAAGTGACCAGAACGGTCACTGATTTTTCAGTGACCGTTTGGTCACCAATTTTTAAATTTTTTTTTCTACTTCTCTAGTTTTCTTCTCCTATAAATATCTAACCCATTACAA